CTTCATGTTAGCTGGAACTCACAGAGATCCACCAACCTTTCTCTTGGCCTTTGCCTCTGTCTCTCCCTCCTAAGGGCTGGAATTAAGGACATGCATCATCACATCTGATGGGTATTTATTCTTAAAAAAAGTTTATTTTTCTTTTCTTGTGTGTGCATATTAGCATTTGAATGTGCATGCGGGTACCTAATAAGGCTGGAAGACAGTGTCTGATTCCCTGAATGTGGAGTTAAAGGCATTGTGAGCAGCTACCAACAGGAGTGCTGGGAACCAAACTCCAATCATCTACAAGAACAGCAAACACTGCTAAGCACTGATTCATCTCTGCAGTCCCTAGTATTTTGTTTTTGACAACATAGGGCTTGGCTATAAGATAGTTATTTGTTCTAAATATAGTCACTCAAAAAGCATTTACAGAGCAATAGCATGAATATATTACATGATATGTATGACATATGGTATATAACATATACTAAAATACGTAATGAGCAGCAGAGGAACTGGTCAATTGTGAGCTTGCAGACTGCACCTCATTAGAAGAACTTTTGAATATCATTGATTTAAAGAAAACATTGCTAGCTTGTGAGTTAGCTCGGCTTGATATGTTGGTATGGTCCTGTTTATCAGGAACTTGGATTTTCCTTAGTCTTCTGTATCCTTCCTAAAACTTTATTTTCCTTTCATTGATTATTAACTATTTTGTCTAATAAACCTTGCTAAAATCTTTGAAATGTGTGCTTTAGGGGCACTGTTTGTGTTTAATATGGAAAGTTGATTTTAGGCTTTCATTAAATCAGCTTTACATTATCTACTTTGAACCCCCCCCTTTAAATGTATTTCTGGTACAGACAGAGGGGCTAACTACTATTTACTCAAGTAAGTGGGTCTGCCAATAATCACCTACTGGCATGTCATGTGACCCCAACTTAAAACACTTCTATGGAAAAGGTTTTCTTTGCTACTGTTTACTTGGGCCTTTGAGTCCATTATGAATTAAATAGTTTTATTATTTACCTAACAAATACAGTTCAGTACAATTACATAGAAGAAGGCATTAACTGTGATCCAAGACTTTGATTGAATATTTATTATTATTGATTGTATTTGTGAATTAAAAAAACAAACCATAATATCTTTCTACTTTTCTAGTAAATACCTTTTGTATTGTTATGTCTACTTGTTCATATAGCCATTTCATAAAGTCTAACTGTGTGTGTGTGTGTGTGTGTGTGTGTGTGTTGTGTTTGTGTGTATAGACATATAACAGGCAACCACAGTCATTCCTGCATTGTGGTCACAGTCGAAATCACTCACCACAAGGTTGGTTACTGGATGAGTCTGTGACTCTCCCCCCAAAGGTTACCCTGTGTGATTCAGTGTAGTGGTTCCATCTCTGCTAGTTGAAGTTTAGATGATCACAATGGAAGCATGAGACAGAAAGTTGAGCAGAAAAGAGGTGACCCAGGGGAGAGCTGGTCTCAGTCACTGGCAGGTGTTCACAAAGGGCTACATCAAGATTTCTAAGGTGGTGATCATGTAGTGTTTACGTTCTGAAAATAACATCCAAAATACTTGGATACAATATGTTACTCAGTCCATGCAGTGGTAAGCTCAGACATGATTGATTGTTCCCAGTGGGGTTTGCATCTGTGTAAATGTGCAGTCTATTGATTTTTTTTCAAAAGAGAAAATAGGTGGACACATTAATTTATTTTTTACACTAGGTTTCCTTTTATGGATTTTTTCCCCTTTCATCCAAAAATATGAAGTGAGTCAGGGTGTTAATCTGTTTTGCTCTGGTAAATCCAATCTCATGATAAAGATGCTTTCCAGTGTGGTGATGACTCTGAACAGATTGGCTGTGATTTCCTTTTACCCATTTATTCCTTCACAGCTCTTTACCATGCATGAAATAAATAATGAAACATTGTGCCAGCCCAACTGAGATTCAAAGGTATCCAGTAAATTAGAATGTAAATGCTATTTGGAGCTACTGACTCGGAGCTGGGGTGTAGTGGAAACTCAGTGCTATGCCATGGTGCAGACATATGCACATATCTAGGTGGGATACACTTCTGCATCAGTGGTGGCTTGCAGTGCGTTAGCCTTCAAGTGATGCATGGGACTCAAACAGAATGAAGACATCGAGCCTGTATACTTTTTTCTGGGGCAGTTATTTCCCACAGTGCCCAGGTTTTATTCTTTTCTTGAAGCTAGCATATAAAGCAATGGGTTTCCCTATGACATTTGCATATACACATGTCACTTGCTTTGTTTGCATTCAGTTCGCTCCACCGCTGCCCTCCTGTACCTCCCTGCTCCTCTTCCTAGTTCTGTAGCTTCTCCTTTTGCCTCATGTCACTTGTGTTCTGTTCTTATTTTCTCCTCCCTCCTCTCTCTTACAAGTCTTTCTTCTTTTCTACTTTCTTATCTCTCTCTCTTATTTGACTTTCTGGATATGGTTTATTTTGCTTAACATAGTAATCTCATGATCTCCTGTTGTATGTTTGTTCATGTATAATCATGATCTTATTTTTCTTTATGGTTGAATAAACCACTATGCAAACCGTCTCTTTTTCCATTAATCTGGTTTGTGTTTCGTGTGTGTGTGTGTGTGTGTGTGTGTGTGTGTGTGTGTGTGTGTGTGGCTGTCTGGCTGGGGACCAACCTTAGATGTCATCTTCAGCAATGCTGCTCATCCCCTTTGAAACAGGATCTCTCATTGGCCTAAAGCTCATCAGTTAGGGTAGACTGGCTAGCGGGCCTGGGAGATGCTCCTGTCTTGACTTCCCCAGGATTACAGACTATAGTACCAGGCATTTTCACATGAATTCTGGGGATCAAACTCAGATTCTTGTGCTTACAAGTACAGTGCTTTACTGACTGAGCCACTACCCTGCCTCAGCTCTCTGTTGATGGACATTGAGGCTCACTCCATTTCTTAACTATGGTGAATAGTGGGACTATAAACATCGGTGTGTAAGCATTTTTGTGGTATGTACGTGGATTCCTTTAGGTGTATACTTAGGAGTACTATAGCTGGGTCATATGGTAATTTTACCTTTAGGCATTTTTGTTTGTGTGTTTTTGGAAACCTCCGTACTGATTTCTCTAGTGGCTGCTCCAGTTTCATCTCCATTAGCAGTGACCAAGGACTCCCCCTCCTCCATGTCCTTGTCAGCATTTGTTGTCATTTGTTTTCTCAGTGTTTGTCATTCTCATTAGATTGAGTTAGGATCTAAACGCCTAGGTTTAACAGTGTTTCCTTTTAGTTTTTCACAGTAAAATAATTAATCCCACTTAGTGTCAGTACAATTTTGAATAATGATGCTGGGACTGTATCCTAATACCACAGTGGGCAAGGATTTAGTCTCCATTTGTTTAGTTGTTGGGATTAGTTTATTAGTGGCTCTCCCCTCAATAAATGTGCATGGCCCAATCCCTAGAATCTATGAATATGACCATATTTGAAAAAAGAGGAGTTTTATAGATAGAATTAAGATCTTGAGATAAAGTCATCCTTCATTGTTGGGATGGGACCCCACTCCAAAAGCAAGTGTCCTTACAATAAAAAGAGTAGATGACACAAGTACAAAGAAGGCAGACACTGGAATTATGGGCCACAAGACAGAGAATGCCTGAAGTCTAAGGCTGGACGAGGCTGGCTGGAGTGTTCCCTAGTGACTTGGGGGAGACTGCAAATGAGCAGAAAAAATAAATCTCTGCTGTTTTAAGCATCATATCTGTCATAATTTGTTGTAGCTGCCATAAGAAATGCATGTGCTAATTTGATTATTTAATTACTTTGTTAAAGTTTCATTTTTGTGTTGCTTGAGTTATAATAATTTGGAGAAACCAAAATATCCACTTCAATTTTATCCTCTATCCAATGGAAAGATTTGTCTGTTTGTTTGCCACAGTTGGGGGAAAACCTAATGCTAACATTTCTAGGCTAATGTTGCCTACCTCAGATGCCCATGAAGCCTATCTAATGGGTACTTGTGGCATTTCTGAATAAATTGACTTCAATATGTGGGTCTGCAGGACTATGTGCTTGTGAGAAAAGTGTCACTGGTTCTGAAAGAACATGACTATGGAGTGGCAGTTTCTTTCATGGTTCATCCACTGGAGAAGGACCTGGTGGCATAATTTCCCTGTCTGACTTTGTCTTACGCTGCTTTCTTTGTATCTGTGTGGTGTCTTCTACTCTTTTTATTGCAAGGACACTTGCCTTTGGAGTGAGGTCCGATCCCAATAATGAAGGATGATTTCATCTCAACCCTATTGTGGCTGGGTTAATTCAGGCAGCTCAATTGCTGTGTCCACTTTTGATAGCCTTCCTAGGGGAATGCAGGTCAGGTTAACCCGGAGAGGCCTTTGCTTATAACTACCTACCCAATCTAAAGTATCTCCCCTCCTTTTATTCTTTCATCTTCACTATTTTTCTTCAGATCCACATTACAACTGGAAGTTTACGACTGTGTATGTCCTCTTCCCCCAAGTTCAAAGACAGTAATATAACAACACAACAGAACTCAATAAACATTCATTAAAGAAGTAAACAGATAAGTGAATACACATTCTGATCAGAGAACAATGAAATGTTTATGTCCTTTGAGGTTGCAATCTGGCTCTCTAAGGATAGATACTTTTTTTGAACTTGATACATCGATGTCATTGAGTTCCACGATGGAAAAAAAAAAACGAGGTGGTCATTAGTCAACGAGATGCAGGAATGCTCTCTTCTCTTTGGGACTAGCAAGGCAGAGATGATGGCAGATGCACTTTGGGGGGACAGGGAGCTCACGACTTCTCTATTTGGAGTCTTTTCTGGTACCCTTTCCCACTTCTCCTAGTCCTTGTGATTATTAGTGGAGCATTTCTCACACCTGCCGCTGTAGAGGCCAGGGAGGACCAAAGCAGCCCCAGAGGTTCGCCTAAGCTCCCTCCTCGGCCACGCGCGCAGCGTCCCTGCCGCTGTGCGCGCGGTCACCTGTGTGGCCAGTGGCGCGCCCGCGTTCTTGTAGCCGGCACCTTCAGACCAGAGACACACACATTCCAGGCATCCCCTGCCACACGTCACCCCGCGACACAGGTGGGACCACCTTCCAGTCCTGAGCCCCTGGCGCGGGGCCACCCAGGGCTAAGCAGTAGGACGCAGCAGGTCTGGGAACCAGGCGCTTGGTTTGGGCGGCACCTGCGGAGGGCCGTGCAACTTCTTCAGGCCTCCTGCCACTTTGGAAACTGCCTGGGACTGCAACCTCTTCAACCCCGAGGGCCCAGAGAGGGTGGGTTGGTTTGAAAGACAAAAGGAAAAAAAAAAAAAAAAAAGATGTGTTGTGGGGCGGGCTAAGTTTCCCACCCTCTTCCCCCTTCCCGAGCAAATTACAAACAAAACAAATAGAAAAGCCAGCCGGGCAGCCAACCAAAGCCCCAAGAGGAGCCCCAGCCGAAACACTCGCTCCTTTAAAAGGATTTGCAGCGGTGAGGAAAAAACCAGAGCTGACCGAGGAATCCTTCTGCAAACCCAGGTAGGCTGACGCCATCTAAGAAACTGGGTATTGGGGCGAGATGCCACTTGTGGACTGCAGAGAGAGTTCTTCGAGGGGTGGGGGAGCAGGGTGCGGGGGTCTGTGTGTACACAGGCGCACCACACCACCAGTGCTCTGGACCTGGGGACATAGCACCTGATTTCTGCTGTGGTTTCCCGTTTACCTTCAGTGGCATGTGCTTACACTAACCTCCGTGGGTTTCTTCATCTGTCATATTTAGAGGTTGGATTAATATCTTTTCGGAAGGCCTTTTAGTAATAGCTCAGATGTACACCATATGAAAAAAATGTAGACTTATGTAATTGTCAATCTTGCTCATTTCACTAAACTAAAAGGTCCTATTGGTCTTGGGGCTATTATGTGCACTTACTACCTATATTTTTAGGATTTTTTTTTTAGTTAATAGTTGTAGAAAAAACAAAGTATTGAAAATATACAGTTTATACATGAATAGGTCACCTGGCACTAACATTGAAAAGCAAAGGAAATAAAAAAAAAGAAAGAAGAAGAGAAATACCTAAGTATGTGGCTTTAACATAGTACTTTTTTGTATTGTATTGCATATTTGGAGGAAAACATATTTCGGAGAACACCAAAAATTGTACCTTTCCCATCAAGTATTGAGTGGTGCTCAGGGCCTTTTAGCATAACACTGTGTGCAGAATGTTTAAAAAGTGGTTTTCCAGGCCACTTCAGGGCTTCTCTGAAATGAACTTCAGTAACAGAGATGACAACTTCAGTGATATGTTTCATTGTCTTGGAATGAATCCCAGAAAATAGCAGAGGTTAACTAAATAGATTAACCAGAAATTAGGAACACACACACACACACACACACACACACGGAGTTGTACTATGAAGTGTCGGTGCAGTTACTGTTTGCTTCACTTTTGATAAAAAAACAAAACACCTCGATTCACAGAGGCACAGAATGAGACAGTAGCTTTCATCATCACACACAATATTTTCCTATTAATGTTCTGAAAATTGAGAGTTCGACATTGCCAGGTAGGTTAGGCATAGAAGTATTTCTAGCTCTTTTTGCTGGGTATGGTCTAAAATACAATAATCTTTTACCACCCACAAATGCTTTGTGTGCAATCTGGGAGAGGAGAAAGGTTTTAAAGTACTCTTCTGTGAGCACATTTTAACTTATTTTCAGCTCTTTTGCTGCCTTTGGGCTGGAAAGGCATTTGCCTTCCTCATCTTACCTCTGAAGCTGAGGGTCATCCCCTTTGACTTGTGAACAGAGGAAGTGAATTCCATGTTGATTAGCCCGGGAATCTTAGCACTCAGATACCCTGCTGGTGCTTGTTTGAAAAACAACTGGAACATTGCAGGCATCTGCTGCCCATATCCAGGGCAGCCCATTCACAGCTCAGGGAGTTGTGGGGCTTGGCAGGCGCCTCTCTCCTCTTTTGCAATGTGAGGCTTTATTCTCCTATGAAATTATCGGAAAAAAAAACAGTCATTGCTTGACACTTAGATCACTAATATAGGACCAAATGGTTTGTGTTTGTGAAGTGGGAGGTCTTGGAAATAATACCTAAGCATATCCAGAAAGAAAGAAAGAAAAAAAAAGCCAAAATAAATGAAATGAATTCTCTTGGCATATACTGTGATACTGTATTGCATTCTTTTTTTTTTTTATCCTTAGAGGCAAACACTCATGCTTAAAAAAATTGTCCTGTGGAGTTAAAAATGAAGAAAAGGCTTATGCTCGGTTCAGATTCTTAAGATTTTATGTGATTTACAAATTCCAATTTTAATTAAATTAGAAAAGTGCAAATGTTCAACTACTGGCTAGACTTCATACATACAGGCTTTTGGAGTTTCTCTTTAAATTTGATCTGTTTATAGTTTATAATATTCCTTCTCAAGCACACACACACACACACACACACACACACACACACACACACACACAAACAAACAAACAATATATAGCCCAGGTTGGGCTTAAACTCACCTTGTATCTGAGTATGATCTTCTGCCTCTACTGCTTGGGTGCTGGGATAATAAGTGTGGACCGCTCAGTTTATGGGGTGCTGAAAATCAAACCCAGGGCTTCCAAGGCAAGCATTCTACTAGTGAGTGACACTCAGCTCTTTTAAGTGGTTTTTAGGATGCAGTAGTGATACTGTCTGTTGTCATGTGATCTTAGTCTTTAACAATTGAATTGTGACAAATATAGAGAGAAATGAATAAAATGAATTCATTGGCTGATAAACTCTATACCAAATCATTGCAATGGGAAATTATGAGAAAAATGCCTTTCTACTCATTATTTAAGGAAGATAATCTGACCATACCCAGACTTGTTACTTTCTTTCTTATCACAAGCCTACTTTAGCCTATCTTAAAAGAAAGCTTATATGGATGTTAAGTGTATCCTTTTGTAGATTATTTAGGCTTTATATTATGCCTGTGATGTTGTTATTTTCTTCTCTTCCCTTTAAGACAAAATACTATGAAAGAGTTATTTATGTGGTTTTACTTTTTTTCCCTTAAACCCGTTCCTATTCAACTTTAGTTCTGAGGACTCTGCCCAGGTCTATGGAGCTGTCAGGTCTCTGATGGTGTCAGCTTTGCCATTTTGTGTCAGTGCTCACTCTTCCTGATCCACTGTCTGCAGTCTCGTCCATCTCCACTTTTCAAATTAGTTAGGCCCTAGACCTTGGAGTTTGTCCCTTACATTCTATCATTCCTCATGCATATATGTAGATAAATCTTCTTGGCCTTATTTTCAAAATAAATCCAGAACACAATCTCTTCATTTACTTCAGTGGCCATTACAGACTGCCCTAACCTTTGGGTTATTGCAGGGACCCCTTTATTAATCCTTTGTTCTCTTTGATCTATTAAAAAAAGTAAGTAAAGAAGAAAGAAAAGAAAAAGAGTTTCCTTTTAAAATGCATGTGGGGGAGGGGGTCAGGAGAGATGGCTCAGCAGTTAAAAGTTTTTGCTGCTCTTCCAGACAGAGGTCTGTGTTTCAGTTCCCAGCACCCACGTCAGGTAGTTAGTTCACAATCACACTAACTCTAACTCCAGGGAACTCTGGTGCCCTCTCTTGGCTTCTGTGGGTATTAACATGCATTACACAAACACACTCTCATAAATAAATATTAAAATTAGAAATAAAAAATATTATGTGTATGGGTACTTTTTTGCATATATGTATGTATGTAAGTATACCATGTGTATACCTGGTGCCCATGGAGGCCTGAAGAGGGTGTCAGATTCCCTGGAACTGCCGTGACAGATGGTTGCGAGCCATCATGTGGATGCTGGGAATCAAATCAAATGTGGGTTTTCTGGAAGAGCTAACCACTGAACCATCTCTACAGCCCATAAGATAAAAATCTTAGTTAAACATACACATCACATTTTGACACTTGCCCGCTTCAGACACTCTGGTATCTTTCCAGTTCGTGTGTTGTCAAAGCCCAACTCCTTGTACTAATTACAAGATCCCCCTGATCTCTCATCCTTCCTTCTCCTATCCCTTCTTCCTCCTCCTGGGCTCTGAGCTTTCCTTGAGTGTATCAGTGATCATCTTTCCACTTTAGCGTCTGCTGTTTGCAGTGCTCATCTCTGGATATCTGCATGGTTTGCTCTGCTACCCACATCTCCCTTAAATCTCTGTTCAAATGTTTCCAGGCAATATTTGAACTTGCCCAGCCTCGTACTTTGCAATGTATATATGTTCCCTTTTTCTTTCCTTTGCTTTTTTCCTCCATAGCGTTTATTCACTTTCTAAAGTGCTATGTGTATACTTTTCAGCTCCATTACCACTAGAATGAAACCATCACAAGGGCAGAACTTTCAAGTTTGTGTGTGTTTCATTCAGTCTTGATTCTAGTGTGTGGAATTGGGTATAGGTTGTCAGAATTGTTTGGACATTGTTTTGTTTTGCTTTTGTTTTTTCCTGTTGACTGACTGTTCTGACCTTCTATTTTCATTGCTGGAAATTCAGTGGTTCTAAACCTTTCTAATGCTGTGACCCTTTTAATACAGTTCTTCTTGTTGTGGTGACCCCCCAACAATAAAGTTATTTCATTGCTACTTCATAACTGTAATGTTGCTACTGTATGAACCATAATGTAAATATCTGATATGCAGGATATCGGACACCCCTTAAAGGGGTCTCAATCCAAAGATTGAGAACTGATGCATTAGATGATGGTATTAATTACTTTGGAGATTCTGTCGTTAAAATATATGACAGACACTACTTAAGGTAGGAAAAATCCAATTTAGGTCAAGATTTCAGAGGATTAGGTCCTTACCTGCTGGCTTCTATGCACTTGAGCAGACTACATGGAGGCAGGAGCGTGTGGAGGAAGACAACTGTTCACATCATAGTAAGCAAGAAGCAGCTAGGGATAATAATCCCCATAGGAACCAACCCTAGTGACCCACCTCCTTGAGTTAGATGCCCCCCTCCACCAAAGCCTTCAGAACTTCCTAAAATAACCACTGTGGGGTAAATGTTTGAATCAGAATCTCTGAGAGACTCTGTGAAATAGAATTCATTTACAAAGCTGATTGTCCAAACATGGATAGTTAGGTTCTCTCCTTCTAGTTTTTCAATCCCCACCTCACTTGTTCCCTTTCATACTTTTTGCTATTTCTGTAACAAATGCCACAAACTGAGGAATTTATAATGAAAACAATGTAAATACTATTCAACTCAGGATTCTGGAGGTAGAAAATTCAATGGCAAGGGGTTGTACTTGTGGGACCCTTCTTGATACATTACAGCTTGGCAGGGTTGCAAGCAAGCACGAGACAGAGGCTAAGAAGGTCAAACAAAACTAAAATAGTCCAGTAACAGAGTTAACGTGTATATGACCTTATTAATTCTCATTAAGCCTTAACCTTCTGATAATGGTGTACTGTGGCCTGAGCTTCCAACAAATGTTCTTTGGGAAACATATTTGACCTATGTAAGCTGCTATACAGAAGGCTACAAGAAT